GTTGCCGATTGTGATTGTTGTTTATTGTGATAATCCATCCGGAACCTTGACCTCGGCCGTTAGCCGCACAGGTGACCAGGTGACCAAGCTGTCGCGGATACAGACAGCCGAAATTTCGATTTCATTTTATTTTCTCCGTCACTAGTCACCGATCTCGCTTTTGTACGATTGCAGCGTGTGCTGTACGCGTTGTTCGTCTTGCTCTCGACTCTCGGGTTCATCTTCGTAGTTGGCTACCGTGACATTGGTCCTCGCTTCGCCGGCGTGCGTTGCATGTCACTCGTTGAGCGTTGTTCACTGGTGAGTTCACTGAGCGAGTGGTAATCGACGCGATTTTCGTTGCAGCCGTTGGATTACGAGGATGCGAGCCAGCGCGACGGCTTCAACCTTACGGTGCGCGTCAGCGACGGCCGTTTCAGCAGCACGGCTTTTGTTCACCTGCGCCTCATGGATGAGAACGACAACGCGCCCGAGTTCGTCCAGCCGAAACAGGTCATCAGCGTCAACGAGGACACGCCGGTCGGCACGAACGTCACGTCGTTCACGGTCGTGGACCGAGACACCGGTGACGATATTTTCGAGTACGTGTTGTAAGTGTTCGTTTTGTGGTTGTGGTGCGCGGCGATCATCATCGTGTTGTAAAACGTTATACCACTCCTCGGTGGACACTGCACCGTCGGCGCCGGCCACTTCACGTCGATCGTGCCGCCGCCGCCGCCGCCGTTGCTGCTGCTGCTGCTGTTGCTGCAGCCGCCGCCGCCGCCACCGCCACCCCTTAATCCTCCTGAACCCGAACCCGAACCCGCATCTGAATCAGATTCCGAATCAGAATCCGAGCCTGAAGAACTGGAACGCGCCAGCAGTGCTTTATGCCGCAACGCTTACCACTCTGCTGCTGCTGGTCGTATGTACTTGCGCAGTTGGTGGTTCGACATCTGCGGCCGCCGCAGAACCGCCGTACCGTATCCGTTTCGGTGGCACATCTCCGTTCCTTTCCTCCCGCGATAATTCCGGCGGTCTGGTGCTTGATCA